AACGATATCAAAATTAATTGCAATTCTAAGATAGGGAATATATTGTATACTATGGAATGGCAACTAAGATCATAAGAGTTTAGATCATGAAATTTTCATATGTTAATAATTAATGTGTACTCCCTTTATTTTAAAATAACTGTTATATTTTGTACTTTGAGTTTATCTCAAATTAATTGTCATTTTTTTTATTATTTTAGATAAACAAATATTTTTTCCTACTTTAATCATATCACTATCTATTTACTTTGATTAATTATCTTATTAAAAAAATTCCACCTTATTTTTTTAGCTTTTTTTAAGGATTATATAAGTAAATACATAAATTGTCTCCACATCCTTAATTTAGAAAAAAAAAAAGTAAAAAAAGGATAATTATTTTAGGATAGAAATAGTATAAATATATGAATTATATAAATAGCTTGATATAAACGTTAATATAATATAAATTAAAATTTTGAAATAAAGAATTTGAGGATAAGAATTATATAAGTAGAAGCTAAAGAACTAAATTCTCATTTTTAAAATTTTAGGGACCTGGCCCTGTAAGCCCACTTTGTCTCCCCAGTGATTGCGGCCGCACATGCCGCCAGGCGAGGGGTTCCTTAGCTTGCCTTCGTTGTGTCAGACCTGCATCATCAGGAGGTTTTGGTTACTGTCTCGCCAACAATGGTACTGTTATATAAAAAGAGAAATGATTTTGGGATAGTTTTTATGTATTATTTTTTGATATAACTTGAAATGTCATTTAAATGATTAATTTTTTTAATTTATGTGGAATCTGTGATATTAAATACATCCACTCATTTAATAATATGTGAAAATTATATTAAAAAATAATATAAAAAAATTATTCTTATATCACTGCTTATAAAAATATTTAATAATTGCTAAATTCTTGTAGGTTTATCCTTTGTTTGACATGGTAGTAATTTTTAATTTTTAATTTTAGTTTTTAATAATTTAAAATTTTTAAAATAAAATTAAAATTAAATAGTTTTATAAATTAATTAAATTTAGAGTTTTAAGTATTTATTTTAAAATTTCATACCTAATAAATTAATAATTTTAATTTTTAATTGTTAATTTTAATGGTTTAAATTTTGAAAACCAAAATCAAAACCAAAACCAAAAACTTAAAACAATAATCATACTAAACGAAATCTTAATTTCTAATTTGTGGTATTTAAAATTAATTGTTTACATTTTTTAGGATGTGACTTAATGTATTTATACTTATTTTAATCTCATTTTAAAAAGATAATTATAATATATATTAAATAAAAATATTCATTTAAGTAATATTTTTTTTTGAAAAAAATATTTAAGTAGTAATTAATTAAAGATAAATATGAAATTTTATCAATTAATTATTAAATCCTTGTTTTATTTTATTGGAAAAAACTAGACCTTGAATGGAGGGAGTAGATTTTCAAAAAATAAATATTTAATAGATTTTTTGAATAAAAAAATGAGATTAATGCATATCACTACAAGAAAACTCAATTTCACTGACAACATATCACCGAGGTAAGAACTTTTCTTGGTGAAGTGTCATTTTATCAACAAGAAATAAGTCTGAAAATTGAGAAACAGTAGAAATAGCAGTAATATATATTATTTATTGTACAGACGTAATACTTGTTGGTAACTTAAGATAATACATATGTGTTCCTTGTCGGTAATTGCAACCAGCACTTCGGCGGGTGGGAGAGGGACGGAAAGCCAAATCACTGATGAGAAGCAAGCTTGTAAATTTATTTTTGAAACGAGAGTCTTGTCGGTAATGGAGCTTAAATTTTCCAACGTCCATCTTCTCGGTAATTCCCACTCCCAACGCAACCCCATCAATCAGCTTGCTGCTTGCGTCAAGAAGTGCAGCTTTTTGATGCATTATTTCGACATCATCCTTGTCGATAATTTCCCATTTCCCAACTCTCTGTGAATCCGGCTGCTAGCCACTGGTGTTGCAGCTTTTATTTAGCTTACTGACAAGGTTTAGGTCGGTAATGTATACATTTCCAACTTGATCTTTGTCGATGATTGGCCCGGTCAACGAGAATTCTGATGCAACGCAAAGATGATCAGCTTTAGATTGTAGCAATGTGGGTCTCGTCGGTAAGAGTCCCTATTGCCCTGCAAACCGCCCTTCTCTTTTCATTTTGGTCTTTCTCCTTTCATTTTCATTTCCTCTTCTATCTGCGAGTTGTTCTTGCTCTCCTTTCCTCCATTCTTTCCTTTGAAGCACTTTAACATTTTTCTTCTTACAGTGTAGTGGATCAAGTAGTGGTAAGTAAAATTTAAGTAATATTATTATATTTTATATATTTTATGTATGTTTTATTTTTTTCCTGAAATTTAAACCATCAAATATTGTTATTAATTAGTTCATTAGATATTAGTTAATATTATTAGATTTTCTTTTAGATAAATTTGATGAATAGTTATGAATAGTTATGAATAATGTTTTTATAAATTTTTAGTGAAATTTCAACCATTAATGACAAAATTTTTATATTAAGTATTTGATATTAACTAGCATTTTCAGATTTGTTGTTTTAAGTATATTTTAGGGTGAATATATATGATTTTTGTGAGTTTTGAAGGTTTTATATAGGTAAATTTTCATGTCTTACCGTTTTCTGCATTTCTTATCTTTTAATTAACTATAAAACATTGTATTTTTCATGGTTGAAGATTAAAAAAATATTTAAAAAGTTGAGGGATGAAAAGTATGTAAACTTTAAAGTTGAAGGACCTAAATTTTTGGTTAAATAACCATGTTAGTCCCTCAACTTTTTGATTTAGGTCAAACTTATTCCAAAACTTTAAAAAGCACTAAAAATGTCCTTAAACTTTAATTTTTGGAATCGAAATAATCCCTGAACTTTTATTTAGTACCAATTTAGTCCTTAAACTTTGAAGACTTAGACCTTAAAACTTTGATTATAAGTACTACTTTATTTATTCAACTTTATAAATACAATTAGAAAAGTATATCATGATAGTAAAATATAATTATTTGATTTTATTTTATTAATTTTTGAAAAAGAAATTGATTTTGTGGCAAAATAATGAATATCAAGTAACACGTTGAGATAAATACTATTTTGGTATTAAATATTAAAGTTTAGGGATAGTTTTGTTATTTTTAAAGTTTAGGATAATTTTGATATAAATTTAAAATATTAGGGACTAAATTTGGTATTTCAACCTAACTTTTTAGCAATTTAATAATTGGTCTTATTTTGTTGTTGTATCTATTTTAAGTTATATTATGTTAATTTTAAATGTAGTTTTTTTAATTTAATGGTATATATAAAGAAATTTTTAATTGAAAATATTATAAATTAATATTTTAATAATTATTTTGTAGGTTAATACTTGAGCTCTTGTGGATCCTCATTAATTACAAAGTAAGTTTCATTTTCACTATATTTTTATAATTATATAGTTAAATATTAATTTTTTTATTAAATAAAAATCAATCATTTGTGTATGATAAATTTTGTTGATGATTAAATTTAACATATTTATATATATACATGTATATATATATATATGATAAATTAAGATTTTAACCAACTATAAAATATGTGAAAGATATCATAATTATTTTGAAACTAATCATGTTATTAATTTTATTTTATTGATTTAATAAGATTATGGAGGATCGTAGTTGGATGTATAGGCATCGAACTCCACGAGGAGAGATATATAATGAGTTCTATAATGGAGTTGAATATTTCCTTCAATTTGCATACAATAGCCTTGGTCTTCAACCGAATAATTTAATCAGATGCCCTTGTACTAAATGTTTTAATTTACCATTGATGACTCGAGAAATGGTATGGGACCATCTTACTAAGTATGGTTTTATGAATGCTTATTCTGTTTGGTGGGCACATGGTGAGACATTTGTGAATTCAACAGATCCATGGTCTGCTACTAATCTGGGAGAATCATCACATAGCCAAGATACACACCATGATGAAAGGAATGACTTTTGTGAAATGGTGTATGATGCATTTTGTCCAAAGGATGATGATAATCGGGAAATGGAAGGTAATTTCCCCAATCAACATCTAGACGAGGAACCAAACAATTAAGCAAAGGCATTTTATGACTTGCTTCATGCATCTACGATTCCACTTGGTAGTTCTAAAAGAAATGAGATAGTGCTTAGCTGGCTTTCTTATATGTTGCATAAAAAGACTGCAAATAATATAACTGCTAATGGTTTTAATGCCATTCTCAAAGGATGTAAGAGGTTGTTAAGTGCTGAAGATCAAGAAAAAATTCCTACAAACTTTTATGAAGTAAAAAAATATATGAAAGGGCCTGGGTTAGGTTATCTAAAAATTGATGCTTGTGTTAACAACTGCTTTTTATACTATGGGGAGCATACGAAAACATTGACTACATGTCCAATTTTTGGAGAAGCGAGGTATAAACAGAGAAATTCAGGGAGGAATAGACAAAAAGACATTCCGAGGAATTCTCTTTGGTACTTGCCAATAATACCTCGCCTTCAGAGGCTATACATGTCTCCAAAAATAGTTGAGCACATGACATGGCATTTGAAATGTTGTGGTGATACGAATGAGGTCATTCATCCAACACAATCAGAAGCATGGAGACATTTTGATCAAATGCATCATTCTTTTAAAAGAGAACCTCGTAATGTTCGATTAGGTCTTGCTACTGATGGTTTCAACCCATGGGCTTATTCTTCAACCTCCTACTCTTGTTGGCCAGTTTTTTTGATTGTTTATAATTTGCCACCAGAGATGTGCATGCGACCAGAGTTTACTTTTCTTACATTGGTCATTGCAGATCCAAAAAGCCTAGGTAAAAGTATCAATGTTTTCCTTCGACCTTTAATTGAAGACTTGAAAATGTTATGGTCGAATGGTGTAGAAACATATGATAGTTATCATAAGCAAAACTTCATAATGTGAGCTATGTTGATGTGGACCATAACTGATCTTCCGGGTTATGGTATGGTGGCTGGTTGGAGCACTCATGGCCAATTGTCATGTCCTTACTGTATGGAGATGACACAATCTTTGTATCTTCAAAATGGTCTGAAACCATGTTTTTTTTATTGTCATCGTATGTTTTTATCGGAATCACGTTCTTTTAGATTTGATCAGAGTAATTTCTTGAAGGGTCGGGTTGAATTAGGCAGTCCCCCTCCTTGATTGGATGGTGTTTCAATGCGTCACCGAGTTGAAAACCTTATTGATGTGTTGTTTGGGAAACCCTTCGAAAACCAAACAATTGAGGGTTTTGGGAACCTCCATAATTGGGTGAAAATGTGCAATTTTTGGGAACTTTCTTATTGGCATGATAATCTTATTCGACATAATCTTGATGTAATGCACTATGAGAAAATTTTTTTTGATAATATAATATACACTGTTATGAATGACAATAAGATAAAAGACAATGGGAAAGCAATATTGGATTTAGCCATTTATTGTGACTAAAGAAAACTACACATGGGATATAATACGCATGGTAAGCTTGTAAAACTTAATGCTAGTTATGCACTGACATCTGAAAAACAAAAGCTTCTATGTGCATGGCTAAAACAGTTGCGCCTTCCAGATGGGTTTGCTTCCAACATATCAAGATGTGTCAACTTGAATGAGTCCAGGTTATTTGGGATGAAAAGTCATGATTGTCATGTTTTCATGCAACGACTAATTCCAATTGCTTTTCGCAGTTTATTGCCATCTGCTATTTGGGGTCCTTTGACCGACATTAGTAACTTCTTTTGTTCACTTTGTTCCCCGGTCATTAGAGTTACTAAGATGCAGAAGTGGGAGGCAAAGATTGTTGAAATAATTTGTAAGTTAGAAATAATATTCCCCCTAACATTCTTTGATTCTATGGAACATCTAGCAATTCATCTTCCATATGAGGCCAGAGTTGGTGGTCCTGTTCAATTTTGTTGGATGTACCCATTTGAAAGGTAAAACATACAAAGAAATTGATAATTTTGAAACTTACTTTTGATTACTTTTTTTTTAAAAATTAATCTTATCAGTATTTCTTTTCAGGCGCATGCGCAAATTTAAGAGTACCATAGGGAATAAAAATCATGTCGAGGCATCAATTGTTGAGGCATTTATATTATACGAGATATCCCACTTCTACTCTCGTTATTTTGGGGATGATGTTGAGACAAGCTGGAATCAGCGTCCAAGGAACTATGGTGGCATTGGAACCAACGTCTCAAGTAAGTTATTTGTATTTTGTTCCCCTGGTGAATCAATAGATACTCACTCACGTACACGATGTTTAACATTGGAGGAGAAAGATGCAGCTGAACTATATGTCTTGCTAAATTGCAAGGAGGTTGATGTTTGGGTAACGTAAGTTCTACTTCTTAGGAAAATAAGAACTACATGATGTTTAATAGCCTATATGATTTTCATAATGTTTTAATTAATAAATAAATGTTATTCTACAGTAAATTTGAGGAAGAAGTTGGTGCAAATTTGTCACATGAACAACTACAAAGATTGCGAACAAATAATTTTGTTCAATGGTTTAAAAATATGGTAATAAATCGCTATATATTATTTTCTCAAATTTTTAATTAAATATTAAATATTACTAAATTAATTTTTTTTTTCAAATATAGGTGTTTAGTGGACAATATGAAATCAACGAACAACTTATCCACCTTGCAGTTGGCCCAATCTTTGAAGTGAATGTTTATAATGGGTTCTTTGTGAACTGCTTTAGATTTTTGACTGAAGAGTTTACTAGCAATAGAAAGACATATAATAGTGGTGTTTGTGTTAAAGGAACCACCATTAATTTTGCAAATGAAACTGATTATTATGGTGTCTTAAAAGAAGTGATCGAGTTATTGTAATATGGACACTCGGGCCATCAAGAGACTATAATATTGTTTAATTGTGATTGGTATGACATGCACCGAGGAATACGTGTCAATGTTGAACACAGAATTGTTGATGTCAATCCAAGCTTTAAACTTTCAACGGGGGAGCCATTTTGCCTTGCTAGTCAAGCACAACAAGTTTATTATACTCTATATCCAACAGCCACGGATAGAACTACCCGGGGATGGTTGGCAGCATGCAAAATCAAATCTAGACATCTAATTGAGACCTCATCTACCTCATCTTCAGGAGAGGTTGATGATATTTTTCAAGATGATGACCCCTTTATAATGCAAGGCTCTTCATTAGCTATAGATTTAACTGCATACCAATCACTTCAACTATGTGTAGAAGGTGTTACAGAAGTTGAGGTTGATGCTAATACATTTGAAGAAGATGAGGACTATGGAGAAGAAAAAAATTCAGAATCCTCAGGAAATAGTGATAATGTTGAGGATGATGATGATAGCGATGATAGTGATGATTAATTGAAACATTTGTATTATTACTTATTAAATATATGTATTAAAATTTCTTTGTCGTATATATATTATTTTATCAAGTTATATATTTTTCATTTAAAACAGAATCATTGTATGATTGTTCTAAATTTGTTACTCATTATTTGTATAAATGTATTAATAACTATTTTGTTATTCATTTTTTAGGATGTCTAAAAATCCAGCAGGTTCAGCAAGGAGGAGATCTTCCTCCTCAGGATCACAAGAGCAACACAATCTTAATCACCCACAGCTGTTTACTAATAGTGGCATAGCTCCGAATATACAACAAACGATTGATCCATCAATGGATTATAATTTTGCACCTGATCATGAAAACGCGGACCCTTCATCCTCGATGGGGAAAAAAGGACAAAGCAAGAATTTAAAAGGAATAGGCCCTCCAAAAAATAGAGAGAGCAAGAAATGGGTTAAACTCACAGATGATAAGCTCCAGTTTGTTGATCCAAACATCCCTTGGGCTATCACTTCACTATGGAAGTCACGTTTTGATCGCCCATATTTCACATACGAACGTGTCCCCCAAAGTAAGCTTGCTGAAATTTATAATTGTTCCAAGGTAAGATTAAGTTTTAGCAAATTTAATAAAATGAATGGATTTAGCAATTTCTAATAAAAATAAATAATTTCATTACTAAACTAGAATTTACATTTCTCATACATCTAATGTTATTCATTTCTTATTTTGTAGACACTTTACCAGTGGGATCCTGCAAATACTCACCATGTGCGAGATGCATTCCTAAATTGTATGAAACATAGATGGAGTGACAATCTCGGGGATGAGAAGTTGAAATGGGACAAGAACTCAGCCTATGTCCCATGTTGGATCCCAACTCATATATGGCCTCAGCTGTTGACATATTGGGACTCTGATGAATATAAGAGGCTCAGTGCAAAGGGAGCAAAGAATAAGAGCTCTGGGGAAAGGTTGACTCACACCACTGGGTCCATTAGCTTTGGCATCCATGAGATGCAGATGGTAATCAAGCTTAATTAATAAAAAATTTAATATATTAAATTTTATTTAACAATAAATTGTGTCAATTTATACTAATCAATATATTGCATTATCAATAATTTGAAATATAGACTGAGTCTAAAGGTGGTGTGCAACCTCCCCATCAGGAGAAATTCAAGAAGACACACACCTTCAGAAAAAAGTCAGGAAAGGATCAAGAGCTAGTGTGGATCAATGAAAAAGCAAAGTATCGATATGTAAGTATATATAACATATAAATTAGCATAAAATGTATAGTTATAAATGTCAAAAAAATTTATGTAATTAATCTAAATTATTTAGCAAAGTCTACTTTTTTTATAGATTCTTTTCAAACTACTTTTGACAACATTATTACTATTACTATTATTTTTTCAGGATACCATGTTGCGGAGTGCACAGAGAGTCATGGCTCTGATGCTAGTTCGTGGCCACGCATGGATAACGAGGCATGGGTTAAGGCTGTTGGAGGTTGATCATCTAATTTCATACCAGGGATTGGCTCCCAAGTAAATCCAAAGATGGTTGGTTTTACTTACAGGAAGAGACAACCTCGAGAAAACTTAATAGCAGCACTGATGGTGTCTAACTATGAGGAGACACAGGCAAAGATCATGAGGAGTTAGAAAGACAACGCCAACAAATTGCTCTAATGCAACAGCAGTTGGCCAATATAACAAAAGCTCAGAATAATATGAGTCAGACAATTGCACAGTCTGTTGCAGCAGCTCTAGCTGCTCATGGCATCTCCCCTCAGGCAGGTTATCATCCAGTTGCCCCACCACAGCCATCACATGGTCTTGGCTTAGGTCTTCGCATGAATTCAACTTTCACCTACTCCACTGATTCCACACAAACCTCTCCTATGGTTCCTGAATATTAGCAGCAGCGGCAATGTTCGCCTCAAGATGATGATGCATATCATTCTGCTTTTGATCCAGACTATCAGGGTCCTTAGTTTTTTTTTATTTTTCTGCTACGCACATTATCTACACACTTTGCATGGCTGGCTTTATTTCTATTAGTACTTTAAACTGTTAGCTTTAGCTTTTCATTACGATATCTTTTCTTATTTTGCTTAACCTCCAGTGATCATACTTCAAAAGGTATGAAGTTTTGGACTGCTTTGGAGGTTAATTATTATTAACTAAATATCGTGGGTACTTAAAACAATGGTGTGTGATTGCCATATATACTTTGTGGTTGTGGTTGTAGTTGTGGTTGTGGTTATGGTTATGGTTATGGTTGAAAAGGTATAATTGTTTTTAGCATGCTAAACTTGTAGAATATATGTGTTTCTCATTGCAAATGCAAGTAAAAAAAATTGGTTTTGATCATATGTATGGGGAAACTCTATCAAATTTTTTTTAGAATTTATACCAACTAAAATGACCAAATTGCTAAAAATCTATTGAATAAATTTCAAATTATTGCATTTTTTATCACAAAGTTGTAGTATTGCAAATACAGATTAAAAAAAAAAAAAACCTTTTATCATATATACAGGGGAATTTTGATTATTTTTTTAAAAATTTATGTCCACTAAAATGTAAGAAATCTGTTAGATAAATTCAGAAAATGGCATGAAAACGAAATCTGGAAAGAAACTTAGGCAAAATTGATGAAATCTGGAGAGGAAGCTGTGGAATTTTTACCGGCCATACTAGAAACGTACTCTTAGTCGGTAAAATGAAGTTCCCCACTTGCATCTTGTCGGTAAAGTTGCCAACTAATACCAACAGGAAGCTGGTCGGTAATTTGGGGGTGGATTGCAAATTTTTTTGTTTTTGGATTCCCGCTTCCGGTCACTTACCCATGTGATCTTTGTCGATGACAAGAATACCGACTAAACACACATGAGTAAGTTGGCTTATATATACCCCCCACCACTCTACTCAGTTTATTTCTTCTTGTCTTCCTTCTTATTCTTCTTCTTTTTCTTCTCCTCTGGCTATTGCCTCCTCTTTTTCTTCCATTCAATGCTGCTAGATTAATTGTTTATGTTTATAATTACATTATTGATATAATTTTAGGTTTATATTTTTTCAATGTCCTCTCTTTTAATTTTCTCTTTCATTGTTTCTCCATATTTGATTAAATACTAATTTATGTTATTCATCAATTTTTTGCATTTTTAATTTGTTTTCCAAGAAACATTAGGAGATAATCATTGGGGTAAGTAAATTTTCTTTGTGAAAATTAACATTCAATTTTATTTATATAAGCCATTAGAGCTATTAGGGTTGAAATTAATTATAGATAAATACTAACCTAATTTATGTTTTTTTTTTTTATTTTCTTAGAAAATGGTGTTTTGCAAATCTTCATCGATTGAGGTAATCTTTAATTAATTTTTTAGGTTATCTAGTTGTATTTTAACTTTGTCATTTTATTCTTTTTTTAAAAGTTATGTTTTAATCTCTAATTTAAATAAATAAATAAATAATTTTCTGATTATATTGTAAAATTTTCATATTATATTTATTTTTTATGATATTAAATATTACGAATTACTTAATGTTTAATTGAAAATTAATTTAATTAAACAATAAATATATATATATTAATTTCAATATGAGTTGAATTCAAGAAATCTTTTTTTTTTTTCCAGAGTTTTTTACCAACGTTATTCTCGTCGGTAACTGGAAGAAAAAAATGGCGTCTAAAATTGCCGACTCAAATCTTGTCGGTAACTTTTAAATTTTGGAGATGATTTTCAACCTGTCAACAAGATCTATGTGTACTTCAGACGTGGTCTTTCTCGGTGATTTATTGACATGGCCCAAATTGCAAAGCATTTTCCTGTATTGGCAGATGTGATGTTCATTGGTGATCAGCTCAGAGCTCGAGGCCCTTCTCTATCTTCAGACGTTATCCTTGTCGGTAATTTACCGACGTGGAACCCAGAGATGTTTTCCGATGAACTGTTCCGGTTCTTTCTTTGCAAGATGTTTCTTGTCGGTAACGAGGAGTGAGTTTACCGATGTGATTTTCATCTACGTCGGTGAATAAATTACCGAGCTCGATTTCACTGACAAAGCTATTATCGACGTGATCCAAGAGGGAAACTTGTTTCACTGACCAGATTCCCTTTTTTACCGACATGATTTCTCGTTAGTGACACAGTGAATTCTTGTAGTGTATCAAGTCTGATTCTTATAAAAAATTAGAGTCTTAACCTTCATTTAAAAATTAAAATCTCAATTTAAAATTAAAAAATCTACCATATTAAGTGTTTATAACTAAATTTAAAAACTAATTATATATTCTAATATAATTAGTTTTTAAATCTAAATATCAATATTTAATAAAATAAATTTTTAAATTTTAAATTAAATTTTAATTAAATAAAATATTATAATTTAAGGTTAAAATGCTAATTTATTTTTAGAGTTAAAATTGATTTGTATTTTTTTTCAAAAGTTATTATAAACTATAAACTTTGTATATTTTCCATTAAGTCATAAATTTAGTGTTCTTACTATTTAAAACCCTCCACAATTTATTTTGTAGTATTTACAAACTTAAGGTGTCTTTTGAGTAGTTTTCACACACTAATCACTTTGAAGTGATTTTAAAAAGCACCCCCATTTCATTTTCAATGCACAATACTGAGCTCTTAAGTATTCGTCCATCAATTCTCACCGCGCTAGTAGTGCCTAGCACTCCTCTTCCTCCATCTCCAGGTACGTAAATTGGTTGGGTTGTGAAACATATTTTACTGTGGCCAGACTCGAAGCATAATAAGAAGCAAATATACAAAAACTGTACATCTATTTCACAGTCCCTTCGTATTATAATGATGGCTATCTTCTATCGTCTAAATTCTGTCCTCCCAAAGGTCATCCCTCTTCATATACCCAATTTCATCACATGTAGCCACCATGTAAACATATAAACATGATTATGAAATTTAGATTAGAAAAAGGAATTAAAGTTAATTACACTAACCAAAACACCTAAATTTGAAAACCAAACTCTTAAAGAGTCTAAGTGATCTTTATATAGATGTCATAATAAATTTTTATGATTAAAAAAATAAA